CCAATGAAGAGAGAAACTTTATTGTGGCCCGTAATCTATTTATAATAACGGCAAAAGACAAGATATTGTTTCTAAGTTCAATGGTCTAGTCTTTCCTATGCCCTATGTAAGTTGGGATATTGGGGTTTTGCTTAACTGAGAGATGATCAACTACTTGTATGAAAGCAACTTGGGGAATTTGTGAGAGTAATTACGCGTTGTGGGATGGACTTGCATGTGGTTGAGTGTGAGCTCTACTTCTTTTGAGTCGTGGCTTTGATAGGTAGTGCTTTAGATGCTCGTCATGTGCTGGAGCTGTAAGAGTTAGTCCAATTCCTCCATTTTCAGAGTTAAATGTATTTTTACTTAGTTCAAGTTTCAACATTTTCTTGGATAAATTTTATTTATCATATTTGGCTTTGTATAAATTTTGGAAAGACACTTCTTCTACGGGAAGCGATGCCGAAATTTCTGCAAATCCAATTTAGTTAAATTTTGTCATTCACAAAGTTCAAACTTTTTATAACTTCATATACAACCTAGTAATAATATGAGAAACTTACCTCTCTGAAGGAGATGCTGCCCAATTTTTTACGAACTCAAAGAGTTAGACAAATTTGGCTTTGTAAAGTCGGAGTTACTTTTTGGATTTCATATTTAGCTTTGTATAAATTTTGAAAAAATAATTTTCATACGGGAAGCGCTGTCGAAATTTCTACAAATCTAAAAAGTTAGTTGAATTTTGTTCTGACTGAATTCAAGTTCTTCCTGAATTAATATTTGATTTAATATAAATTTGGGAAGCTTATCTCCCTAGAGAAGATGCTGCCCAAATTTGTACTAAATTAAAGAGTTAAACAAAATTTGACCTTTAAAGTTAGAAAATCACTTTCATATTTTATATTTAGTATTACATAAATTTTATGAAGGCATTTTTTCCACGGGAAGCGCTGCCGAAATGTTTTATATTTTAGAGGAGTTGGAATATTTTAAGAACCTTAAAAGTTGATAGTCTACCCTCGCGTAGGGGAGATATTGTAATAATTTCTTACATCTTCAGATAAGTATTATAGGTGAGATAGGAAAGTAGGATTATTTCATAATAACTCAAGCATAGCTTGAACACCGACTTATTTTGTGTTGTAGGTCACTCTTGTTTTTAGATTGATTCAAGGTCTGACTAGATTCGAGTTGATCCTATAAGGATTATCTTGTGTTATCATTTGATAACAAGACGATTTCCGACTGAACTCTAATTCATTCTCGTTACTCAACCTAAGACGTTAGCCATGTGGATTGAAATATTTTTTTAGGTTTTTACCAAAAAAAATATTAAATGACTATTTAAAAATGACTGAGTGTTTTGTTATGGAAGGTTGGACAAAGGTTGGGGTTTGTGTGACTAAGGCAAGGGGTATGAAGTGCAGAGAATGGTTGAAGTTGACCCCGTGTAGCATGTGCTTTGTCAATTTGGATCTTTGATGTGATCTCAGGTATGTTTGTGAGTTAAAATCAATATTTGGTTTTATCTATGATCATATGTATATTTATGAAGAAGCCAAATTGTGATTATGATAAGTGATCATCTCATATCTTATAACCTTTTATATACATACATATATATAAATACATATATATATACATACATACACATATATATATATCGTCACAAATAGAACTGCCTAGTAAAATGTAGGCAGAGAGAGAGAAGAGGACAACAAACGAGGAGCTGTGACAAACTATTTCGTCGGAGTTTCACCGACTTATAAGGAGGCTGAACCCTCAACAGTTTGAAAAATCCCCTCACTGATTACACTGTAAATGATAATTTATCTTAACAAAAATCAAAGTAGACTATCACTCACCCACACCAGATGGAAAACTCTACAGACTGTCGGTTCACACC